CCAAGATTATCAATATCTCTAATCAAACACACACACACGCACACATATATCTAATCACACACACAAACGGTAAAAAAAGTAGGCAAAGGACCATTTGAGACGCATGTAGGCTGTATTGATCAATAGGGCTAGACCTATATTTTATAGACCAGTCGTCGTTTGGTGGGTGATGATGTCCGCCCCGAGTGCTAGAGGTTCCAGATTCACTCCCCGGTAAGGGCTGGGATTTTTCCACGTGGACTTGCACTACTAGTAACTCCCCCTGGTCTCTGGGTAGTGAGATCGGACGCCCGTCTGCATTGTTGCGGACGTAAAAAATCCCTTGGTAGTTGGGAATCGAAAAGAGAAGCCCATAAAAAAATGTGGATTTAGAAATCTACTCAAAGTATTTTAGGATCCTCATCGGTGCTACAGAGCCCGTGCACTGTGCTGAGCTTCTTTGGACTCATAACTGAGTTTGGAAAGAACGAAGTACTATTCGGTTTCTACCCGTGTGCCATGATGTTGATCCGTTTTTCAAAATGTAAACCTAAAACTTTGCAGTATACACAGTTCTAACATGACCGTGTGAAACGACGGTGGAGAGTACGGGAGAATATTTCGACGCATTCTGTCTGACAATGGACAAGCGTAAATATTTGGATGTGGAAGTCCCGTCTGGGCGATGAACTCCTTGGAAAATTAAGAACAGTAGAAGGGTAAGGTTTGACGTGTGGCGATGACCTGTGTAGCAGGGAAAATGACGGACGACGGGCTGATAGAAGAGACAAGATCTCGGGAGCTGATCACAGGGAAGACGGTCAACAAATGTTAGGAAAAGGTCGGGTCTGTTGGCCGAACAGCGAAAATAGACATCGCAGATCTGTTGTAAACAGAGTTGTCTCTAATACAGCAAAAAGAAAAAAAAGTAATAATAATAATAAGCTGTAGCAGGAAAGAAGAAGAAGGTGGAGGAGGAAAAAGAGAGGGAGAAGAGAAGGAGCAAATGCGTGGGGGAAGTGAAATAACGTAAACACGAAGAACGAAAGGAAGAAGAATGTAAAGGTGGATAAGCGGCGGCTTGGAGAAAATGAAGCAAACAAGGAAGAAGAGAAAAAGGTTGAAAGAGGGAGAAAAGAAGGAGAAGAGGAGGACGAGAAGAAGATAAAAGAAAAAAAATAAACGCGAAGTAGGTTAATGGTGATTAGCGGTGACTTGTAAAAAAAACAAAAAACATTTAGTTGATGTCCTTTGCAGAACCAGCTCCATCATTTTTTGGCTTTTGTGGTTTTTCTAGGCAAATGTTACGTTCAGTAGATTCTGGCTTAGGCGTTGCAAACTGGCTTCGTAATGCCGAGGTGATGGGTTCGAACCCAGCTGCGGACGATTTGTCTTGAGTTGATTACTAAAGTGGTACCGATAGCTGAACGTGCCTACAAACACAACAACAGACACACACAAAAAAGGCTGGCGTCAGATCTGCAACTCCTGTAACGGATACGCAACTAACTTATTCTCTCATTGCTCACTGAAAGGAGGGGCTTCGATACCAACGTCGAAATCAATACAAGGCGGTCTGCTGCCAAATCGCTTGCAGCGGGGATCAAAGCTGGTAATCCAGCGTTACGAAGAGCATTTGCAACGCCTAAGCTACAGACACCATTTAGAGAAGTTTAAGCAGACACTGAAGAAAAGAAAAAGGAAGAATGGAAACGAAGAGAAGGAGGAGGCAGAAAAGAAGGAGGAGGAGAAGATACCCTGAAAAAAAAGGAAGTAACAGCGCAGAAGACGAGTAACAAAAATTTAAAAGGGACATTTACGGCCCCATGAACAAGACTAAGCAAACAAGAAAGGCAAGAGCAATATACACAGAATATGATGAGATAGAGGATGGAGAATGGAGAGGGGAGGAGAAGGAAACACGAAGTGGCTACATAGGGCCAGTCCAGTATTTTGAGAAATCAATTGTCACTTTAGTAAAGCTGCTACAGGCCTAGTAAGCAAGCAGTGGATTTCTTATCCCTATAGAGAATACAATGACATTAACGGACTAACCAACCATGATGTGTCTATTACAGAGGCGACCAAAGGAACACGAGGCAGAACGTTTTTTAGCCCTCGATATCTGAAGAGGTAAGAGGGGAAGTGCACAGAAAAAGAAGAAGAAGAACAAGAAGAACAAGAAGAACAAGAAGAAAGAAGAAGGAGGAGAAGAAAGAAGAAGAAGAAAGAAGAAGAAGAAGAAGAAGAAGAAGAAGAAGAAGAAGAAGAAGAAGAAGAAGAAGAAGAAGAAGAAGAAGAAGAAGATAATGAAGAAGAAAAAGACCTTCATTGACCATATCTGTAATATCAAGCCGGCCACCTTTACCTCCCAGACAATTTGCTGGTATCATATTTTAGACATAGATCGAAATTAAATTAGAAAAATCCGCCTCAATGGAGATTCCAACCCATAACTATCAGGCCGGAGGTATGTTTTCTAGTCATTGGACCACCTGAACGTTACTGCTTGATACCTAGTGTAATTAAATTCCCCAAGTGGGTTCAGGAACCCCATTGAAGGGGAAAAAATCAGACTCACTGCCCTCTGAACAAGCATGTCGAAATAGCGACTAATTAGATGAGTTTCCTTCGAAGTGGTTGTGTATCTGTTCGAGAAGCGAAGGTACCAACAGTCTACATACAACTAAGCGAAATCTGTAAAACGAATGTGTGCGCAAAATTCAAGCTCTAGACAAAGTCTAAAGTCCAGAAGTAGACGAACAACAAGAATTTCCGCCAGAGTTTGCAGGCTGTGAACGCCAAGAAGAAAGAAGAAGTGTAACAAAGCAAGAAATAAAACATTAATGTAACGTGTTCTTGAAATACCCACAAACAGACGAATAACAACCATAACAACAACAACTATTACAAACCACACACACACACACACACACACACACACACACACAAAGCACCTGAAAAGAACTGCCAATTACTGTCTTTGTTATAACACTTTTGCGATGTAGGCGGGGGGGGGGTGAAGGGGTGGGGGGGGGGGTCCCTTGCACATAAGGATTTACGGCCGCATGGCTAGTGCTGTTGCCACGACTGTGCAGGTGAGGGTTTTATTTTGTCCTAACCAAAAAAATTCCCAGCCTCACCGAGGATTCGAACATGGGTCCCCCGCTTGAGAGCTCAGTGTTCTAACCGTTCGGCCAGCCTCTCCCCACACACAGAGAAACAGGAGAAAATTGCAGGTAAATTCTTAATACCTAAAGACAAGGTAGATTACTGACTGGACAAACGGATATGGTTCAAAAATACTGACCATTGATGAAAGAACTAATGACTATAATGACAGTCATTATATTCCACAACAGACGATATAGGCTGGTGAGGCTATGGCTGCATTGCAGAAATATAAAAGACCAGGAAGAGACATAGCAATGAAAACGGCATTTCGATTGAAAGTGCAAATATGTCAGCGTTGGTACCAAAAAAAACCGCGCAATTGCGTCTAAGAATGTCAGGCTGATTGATGAAGAAGAAGAAGAAAGAAGATTAAGAGGATAATGATTATTATAATGATGATAAAGCAGCAGAGCAGCAGAAGAAGGAGAAGGAGAAGAAGAAGAAGTAGAAGAAGAAGAAGAAGAAGAAGAAGAAGAAGAAGAAGAAGAAGAAGAAGAAGAAGAAGAAGAAGAAGAAGAAGAAGAAGAAGAAGAAGAAGAAGAAGAGGTAAAGCCAAATACTCAGATTATTATAGGTTTTTTTGGGGGGAGGGGGGGGGTGGGGATAGACAGAAAAAAATCCACCATCTTATCGATGATTCGACCATGCGTTTTCCATTTGAGGAGTCCAAGTTCTCATCCTGCTCCTTATCACTGCTATTCACAGAAATTCGTAAACTATTTCATCGTCGGCAAAGAGATGAATTGATGACGCAGTTTTTCTTTATTTTTAAAGCCCCACTTCGGCTGTAATCGGTGGTCCTAATACACTACGGTTCAATGGGGTTTCTGGGACTCTTACCTGGTGGTCCTCATCCAAATGGGGGGCACTTTGTGTCAGCGGTTGCTGATAGCTCATTGTACTGTCCAGTGAGGTCCAATGACGAACAATAAACATTATCTGCTAAATGCGTCCTTGCCTGAATAGAACTGCAGGCTACACATTTCTGTAGAGTGTCCTCATTACTTCTTTGGAGAACGACTGGGGTGTGGGGGAGGGGAGGGGGTGTCTGCCTTGCTGTTATGCCATTGAGCTTAAGATTCCTGAATCTGAAAATGGTATCGTAAACCTTTAGGCAGCAGTTCTAAGTCGCCACACCTAGCTTCAGATAGGGCCGTACAGTTCACGGGAATTCCATTTTTTGAGAGGCTGGCGGTGGCCGGTCAATGGTCACCATCGTTACCGAGTAGATTTATACACAAATTAAATATTTTAATTATTTTGCAATTATGTGGGCTATTATTTTTTTATTATTATTTTTTTATAGCCCAATTATTTATCTTCAAAATGATAATTCATTCAGTAGCGCATGTTGCAAATTAATTAAACTGTGGTTTAGTTTGTGTATAAGTCTACTCGGTAACAATGATGATCACCGACCGGCTACGGACGGCCTCCCAAAAACGGGAAATCCAGTTGATCAGTACGACGGGCCTCCCAAAATCGGGAATTCCAGTTGATCTGTACGGCCTTTTGTGGAGCTGGCTGTGGGATTGACAAATTTATCGATCTTCGGTAAATTCTCACTTAGACTCTGCCCTTTTATTTTTCAGGTGGTGGCCGTGTTTCTTAGCTCCTTCACGCTGGTGGCTATGAGTGTGGATCGTTACATGGCCATCCTGAATCCGCTGCGCCCCAAAATGTCCAAGCGTGTCTTCGCTGTTACCGTGGCCATTATCTGGATTCTGGCTTTTGCTGCGCCCCTCCCCACCGCCATTACTTCCAGGGTGGTCTTCAAGGAGGGCCACACCAACGGGTTGTGCCTGGAGGAGTTTGAGGATGAATACAACAAATACATATATAGGTGAGTATATTGTTTTTTATTCCACAGTTTATTAGTGCTAAAAGTAAGACAGATGCCAGATGTCTCAGATAAGATATTTTCTGAACGGACATGTGAGAGGGGAAGCTGCTGTGGTGTAGCGGCTGAACTCTGGCCTGCGAGTGGGAATGTCGTGGGTTCAAATCCTAACTCTGCGTGACTTTTTTTTATTTAAAAAAAAAATTACCTAGCCTTCCAGGTTGACCTAACCTTTAATGGGGACCAGGTGAAGTCCTGGAAAGTAAAGACGGCTAGCGTAATGTTGGCCACGCCACCCACTTAGTGCCGATTGGTCTATAAACAATAGGTCTAGCCCTATGTGCGCAGTACGCTTGCAGGAGTGGAGAAAAGATCCTCTACTGACATGTTAGATGACTTATTTTAAACATCAGAGACAGTCATTATTTTTAAGTCATAATATGAGAATATTGCCACATAATGAAAAGAGAGACATTGGAGAACATCGTGACAACTGAAAAGATCAGTGGGAAAAGGGGTATAGGCAGACCAAGAGAGGTTATGCTAGATGAGCTCTAACGATGGCATGGAGGGATATCACCAGGTTCCAGGCAACCAGGGTCCGTAATCTGTGGAAACGCATGAGTGTCTACGTCAGTTGGCTTGGCACTTGATGATGATGATAAATATAAGACAAAAAGATATGTTAAACAAAGCAAGAGAGAGAGAGAGAGAGATAGAGAGAGAGAGAGAGAGAGAGAGAGAGAGAGAGAGAGAGAGAGAGAGAGAGAGAGAGAGAGAGAGAGAGAGAGAGAGAGAGAGAGAGAAGACGACAAAACGAGACGATTGTTGACAACCTTCTGTCATAGTATGGGACGGGTGTCAGCACATGAACTCATACAAGCTCATGAAAATCGCTGTTGCAGACAGGCATGGTCGCCAAGGCCAGTCGGCATTTAAGGATACTGATGACATGTAAGAAATTCTTTTTTTTTAATGGTACAAGTGGAGTACCGGCCTGAAGGTCTTGAGTTCGACTCCGCATCGAATCGGAATCAATTTTCAAAAACTAGGGTTGGCACTCATGGCTGGGGCATAGTTATGTTAGATTTACACAGAGGTAGTCGGCTCTGTGGCTAAGTCGATGCCAACGCTTCATAATGGCGGGATGTCAGGTTCGATCCTAGCTGCGGATCTTGCGCCTTGCGTTGGTTTCGACAGTAGTATAAAGAAAGCCGACGCCCAGAAAGCAATGGCAAACTACTGGACGTACATTTGCCTAGTAAAACCACACAACCTGTTGGGGTTGGTTCTGCAACGTCATGTAAAGGATACGCAACTAACTAACTTAACACAGAGGTAAACCTGTTTACACAGGCGAGCTGAATGGTCGTAGACCAAGAGGCCGACCAAGAATACTATAGAGAGATAACGTCCAGACACACCTGCAAACACTTAGTGTCACCACCTGGAAAGAGAAGGCCAACCAGTGAGATGAGTGTAGGCGGATAATATCTGCAGCAATGAACCTCAAGAGCTCGGAATGCAGAAGAAGAAAGGTTAGCAATCAGGTCAACCCTGTCTAAAATAAGTAGCCAGTAATATCCTGGGCAGTAAAGGCGGCCGGCGTGATGTTGATTTCATCACCCACAAAGGGTCCTTTGGTCTTTTACAAAAAAAATCAGTCTATCACCCTTTTTCGCCTTTGCGCCATTGGTGGCGTAATAGGGATGTTCTTTGATGATGACCTTACAAATGGAACAAACATCATCTTCATTTTTGCTGTTATCCTGTTGTGCCGGTATATGTCACATAAGGCTCGCAGTTTATTCCTCCAGTAAGTTCTATCTTGTGCAATCAGTTAAACATCATGGATAGTATTCAGTCAAGCAGCTTTGGCCTCTCTCGTCAACATTCGTCTCAGTGTTTCTTGTGGGAGTCCTCGCCTTCTTAAACCTTTTTTTTTTAATTGCATTGCCTGTTTGGTGATTCTCAGTTGGTTTCTTGCCAGGATGTGTCCAATGTAGCGCCATCTTCTCTGTCTTATAAATGTTGATACTAGTGTTCGTCCATAGATGTTTTATTTTATTTCTTCACTCTTTTTTGAATTATCCAATTTTATTTCGATCATTTTTCCTCAGATCTTTGTTTTCGTATGCATTTACCTTTTGTTTCATGTCTTTATGACTCTGCAACTTTCACTTACAAATGTTAAACGTGAAAAAGATTAGAAGTGAAGTTGTAATCGTCCCCATGTGGGATGCAATTTGTCTTCCTGGCTTTTGCCGGGGGCTCTGAATATACCTGGCCATAAGTATGGTCAAGGCGTATAGGGCAAATAGGGCTAGATCTATAGTTTATAGACCAATCGGCACAAGATGGGGGATGTAGTCAGCATCACACCGGTTGCATTTACTTCCCGGGACTGCACCCGTTACCCACTCAAGGCTGGGTCGACCTGGGAGCCAATGTCATTATTGAAAAAAGTCCGGCTCCCCCAGGGAGCGATACCCACGACCTTCCGATCCGCGGTGAGTATCTAGCCGCTCCGGGACCCATGCTTTCATGTTATAACCATTCTCGAATTTACTGAAGAACTAAATGAGGACATAAACGCTTCTCACTTGTCTGGGAGACAGTGGCCGCTGTGTGTTGTCTCTCATCGTGCCAGAGATATGGTTTGCTCTGCGGCACCTTAACGTTCACATCGGTTACAACACGAGGCTAAACAGGCATTTCATTTCCTGCTGAGCTCATTTACCTTGTTTACATTTATGATATGCGTGTGTTTTTTCTTTAACTCCTAGAATAATTTACTTGTAAACTCGAAAACTACTTTTCTTTATCTCTTTTCCTTCAACACCTCCTTCTCCTTCCCCATCATTCTTTTTGTTGTTAGTTATTTTGCTATTATTTGTATTATTATTCTTTTGTTTTTCAAATATTATTTCTCCTCTACTTGTATGTGTTTTTTCCTCCTTCTTCCGATCTTCTCCTTCTTCTTCTCCTTCTTCTTCTTCTTCTTCTTCTTCTTCTTCTTCTTCTTCTTCTTCTTCTTCTTCTTCTTCTTCTTCTTCTTCTTCTTCTTCTTCTTCTTCTACTTTTTCTTCTTCTGCATCGCCTTCTATTTTTGTTTCTCCTCCTTCTCCTCCTCCTCCTCCCCTTCCTTCTGCTTCTTCTGCTTCTGCGTGCGCCCTTAAAAGGTCCGTTGGCACATTGTTTTGGTTCGCTGCTAGGCTGCGATAACTGAGCAGTTATCTTTTCGGCAGTTTTATCTTTGGTTGTCTTTTCCCACAGGTTTATAAAATAAAAGTTCGATGGTACCTAGGTATACATCCGCTTTGTAATTAGCCCAACTTGATATACTTCCTGTTTAGACTCGTAAAATGTTGTTCGGTATAGCACTTTGTTTGGAAATACGACTGTCATGCTAGAACTTGCTAGCCTCAACAAGGATCAAGCAGGGAGACGGGGAGGGGGGGGGGGGGAGAGATAGAAAGATAATTTACCAGAAATTCGTATTCATGAAGTGTTTTTGAAGGGACTCCTTCTAAACACTGATATTTCCTTCTTTCGCTGGACCATCATACCATGCACTCGACTCTTCTTAGCAAGCTAAAATAAGGTTATATTGTCTTTTTTTTCCATCTATGGTAATTGCTTTCGTTTTTATGTATCCTAAGGTTCAGTTGTGTTTAAATTATTTTATACAAGCCCCTCAGCATACAAAAAGTCAATGATAATAGGATTATTTTTCTTTATGGATTTCACATATTCCCTAAATACGTCCTGTGGTAAAAGTAACGTTGGTCTCCCATATACACACTAGCTTTTTTCTGATTGGTAGTTCCTGAGCCCTGTGCCCTTCGCACAAGGTCAGGGGTGTCCCACGGTGCCGTTGATATCGCATGTTGTATACTTCATCGCCTTTACACTCTAAAAACATGCACAAACTGGTCCTAAATCAACCCCCCCCCCCTTTTTTTTCCTCCCCCAGAGAGAGCAGCAACCTATGTCACAGGCATTCTCTTTCCTCTGAATGATTACGTAAATGCAAGGCAACAGAGAGGGACACATCCGTAACTTTTATGAAAGTCGACCAGCCCAACAAACTTGTGAAGGAAAATTAACCTACTCTATTTGGGGAGATTAACATGAACCTAACCCGTCCTGTTTGGTATAAGTCAAAGGATCTTGAACAGCTTTATGGACGTTTGTCAGGATCGTGCTAGGGGTGCAGGTCAGATGAAGGTGGGACTTCCAGAAAAGCAGTACACACGTGATTGTGATGGTGTGCACGCACGTCACTTAAGTAAGCCACGTGAACTACCTGAAGTAAGAGAAGTGAGCTCGGGTCGTGAACCGGCTGGGGACAGTAGTCGACCGTGTAAATTCTATCTATCTATCTATCTATCTATCTATCTATCTATCTATCTATCTATCTATCTATCTATCTATCTATCTATCTATCTATCTATCTATCTATCTATCTATCTATCTATCTATCTATCTATCTATCTATCTATCTATCTATCTATCTATCTATCTATCTATCTATCTATCTATCTATCTATCTATCTATCTATCTATCTATCTATCTATCTATCTATCTATCTATCTATCTATCTATCTATCTATCTATCTATCTATCTATCTATCTATCTATCTATCTATCTATCTATCTATCTATCTATCTATCTATCTATCTATCTATCTATCTATCTATCTATCTATCTATCTATCTATCTATCTATCTATCTATCTATCTATCTATCTATCTATCTATCTATCTATCTATCTATCTATCTATCTATCTATCTATCTATCTATCTATCTATCTATCTATCTATCTATCTATCTATCTATCTATCTATCTATCTATCTATCTATCTATCTATCTATCTATCTATCTATCTATCTAACTATCTATCTATCTATCTATCTATCTATCTATCTATCTATCTATCTATCTATCTATCTATCTATCTATCTATCTATCTATCTATCTATCTATCTATCTATCTATCT